CGTACGATGACTCATATAATGCAGTGCAGTCCTTTGAAAGACGTAAACGTATTAGACTGCTAGACGCGGAAAATCAAATTAATTCAAGCCAGAAATATTTTTGAAATATTCACCAAAAAAACAAGATAAACTATACTTGAGTATGAGAAAGACCTAATTTAAGGCAAAAACGGGTAGTGAATGTGCAGTGCAATATAATACTGACTTTCCAACACTGATAGTTTAAATACAGAGGTACATAAACTGCTGGGCACTCTCAGGGAAAAAAATATGTTTGGAACAACATATATATAAGAAACGTAAAACAAGCACGATAAACGTCTTGCAAAAAACGAAGAGAAAACAGAATGAGTGCTGGAATTGCAAATGTGCCAAAATAGCACCACGTATTGATGCCGATGCCATCGTGAGTGAAGATGATTTGTATTTTGAAAGAAGTGAATACTGTTAAATACATTAAACATCATAAGAAACAAAACAAACTTACAAGTGTGCTTATCTTAAAATACTGTTAAATACATTAAACATCTTAAGAAACAAAACAAACTTACAAGTGTGCTTATCTTAAAATTAAAGATCTTGCCCAAATATTTTTTTTTTTTGTATTTATAAACTTTTATTGGAGTTTGCACTGAAATTAACATCTTACGTACTGGTTTGTACATTACAAATTGCAATTAATCTACATATTGCCCAAATATTTGATGAAGATAGTGATGCGGAGGAGGAGACTGAGGAGAGTGATATACGCTCGTTGTCAATTACATTGCACAACGTAGTCTGCGATAAATTTATTCGTATTTACGTTTTTACAGAAGTTCGAATGTCGCATATTTTTCCCACTATTTGTAGTTGGTCACAAAATTGAAGACTGCTTGTGGCAGGGGTACTATGGAAGACGATTTGTACAGGAGATCAAAACACCGACACATTACAAGTTGCAGCAACTTATCAATTATATTTTGTCATCCATTCTCAACATTCTGTGTGTTATGGATGTGTCTTTGTATCCATCACGAGATTGTGGGATATACTACACCTAGACATTGTATTGTATCATTTTAAATCCCAAATTGTACTTACATTCACGGTGTTATATTTCACTTCATATATAGGAATCGAAACACAATATTTAAAAACACTGTATATACTGATGACGGTAGATGGCACTGTGAGTGGTAAGGTGGATAGTTCCGTCGTTATATAAATAACAACAGACTCACCTTGAATAGTACGATGTATATTTATTTAATTTTCTCTGGTAGTATTACACAGTAAATTAGAATTATATGTGGGATCAGTTGTCGTAACATATCGTATAAACTAGGTTCATAAGCACAGCGTGTTTCAAATTCCACGGTCAGTTGTAAACTTTGCGGCAGCCATCTTGTGAAGTGTTGCAAGACAGAAGTATCGAACGATATGCACTCGGCAACCAGTTTTCGCTTAAGTAGTTACCCAAAATATTCAGATTGATCTAATTTAGGGTTTCGGGTGTGTACATCATTCGCAATTTTAATTTAACGATGATTTATACGCCAATATACACTAGATTAAGTAGGTATTTGAAAATCCATATGTATGTAATGTAAAAAATATAGAAAAGTACAGCTGATTAGTGTTTAATTATTTTAGTTAATATTGTCTTCAATATTTGCAATTTGAGACCAGCCTCTCGACAAAATGATCTGTAGAAAAGGGAAAGAAAATATACAGTTAAAATTGGTGTTACACAATCTTGAAAAAATATACAAAATAATAAAAAAACTGGTCCAATTTATTTTTGAAAGAGCCCGACACCCACAAACAAGCGACTGTAAATCTTGAATTCATATTATGTTTTTGTTTGTTGTGTTCAATGTTGATATAAACACAGAAACATGATTTATTACGAACTGAAAACATTGCACAGAATAATATTCGAATACACTATGCACATTTGAATTGAATTAATAATACGTACCATCAATTCAAATCACACGTGCTTTAGAATTGTCACGAACGAATATTATTCTGTACCCAGTGTACGAACACGAATTGTCGAAATGCTGCCATTGTTGCCTTATATACCTTATCCTAAATCTATGATATAGTCACTCTGACTTACTAACCTATTGATAACGTATCTGGTTTATACGAACATCGCCGCCAACGTGCAGAGTATCAACTTGCTGGTAAGCAATTCGGTGACGATATTCCAACAAATGGCTGCCATTGACGGCTACTTTGTAACAGTCATTCTGACACAATATGATAATTTCGAAATTAGTATTCGCTTGAAATGGAAAATAAGGAGCAGTTCTCTCTTCTGGGCCCCATTTCTGTTGTTGTCTGGAATTTCGGACGATGACGTTAGCTGGGAATCGTGGATTGAAATGGAATACAACGTCATGCGCCTTCCCCTGGCTGTGTCCAATCTGGAAATTTACCATAAACCTTTAAGACGAAACAAAAAATGTAAAAAATGAATATTTCCAATCATACATATTCATTACTATGTATAACGTGGTAAACATTTGATAATTTCGTAATCTTAATAAACTCACAAATAACATTTAATGATTTATCCTATACCTGGTTGGATTGGGAGCCACAGTTCCGTTTATTATAACCATTCTACCAGGAAACATTCCATTCGGAATCGCTCCAACATAAGGAGTTGACTAAAAGACATTTTTCAAAAAAAGTATATTAATACACAAATTATAATAACTTTTTAATTTAGATTTTAACTTCCTTATCACTTTCGAAATGCAATCCACGTTTCTGATATCGGAATGTTGTAACAGCTTCTACACACTCTCGATAATAGTACAGAGAAGTATACGTCATGGGGTATACAGACATATCCAGCGTACAATTGAAGTAACATCCTATCCACAATTGTTGAATGCAATTGACACAGGACATTGATATTATTCATTTTTAATGAGTTTAAAATTGCCTTGTCATTATGCCAGCAAAAATACGAACATACAAGTGCATTAACCCGATCAAATAGGGTCAGTTTTAAAGAAAGGCAAATACTTGCATGGGTAATTATTATCACCCATTAAATCAATCATTTTAAAAATAGTAATCTTAATACTCACAGGGTTAACAATTGGTCCTGTCGGGGCCACAGCTGAACGAGTTCCTGTGACTTCAACCTGGATAACATAAACAACAGTCCATATTCCCAATTCAGTAAAAAAGAGACTTTTTGTTTATGGCACTAGTATGGGATCTTTACACACCAGAGAAGTGTAACTGATTGCAATTCTGTCTTCAAGTGTAATTAATTTAGCTTTCTGTTTGCACATTATAATAGTAGTATTCTATATATGCGATGTTTCTATGTTTACCTGTTCATCCTGGAACCTGACGGAGGTGATTGTGACGTCACCATTGATAGCAAGATAGTCGATCTTCTTCAGAGGTCTGACACGGTGTTTATACGTAATGTAATGCTGACCGTTGACAGCAACCTGTAAGGACGTACAGTTCAATATTTGGATATTTCATTTAATATAAGCAGTCTGAGGTATGGAGATCTGCATATCTGTAATCTTAACCAATCGAGGACATGACTTGGTCAAATGTAATTGCTTTCAGTGGTCTGATAAATCTTGATGATCACGTAATGGCCACGATTTAGAAACCACGAGTGACAAGTATGTGTGTGTGTGGGGGGGGGGGGGGTCGGCCAATCAAAGTCGTTGCGAACTGTCGATATGTAACTATGTAACCACGGAAGTTCTAGACCGGGAGAGGCACTTGGCTGATCGAGTCTGGTCTTGGCTGATTACGTACGCGCGTTCTGAATTTCGAGGAGAAATAGGTTTCACGTTGTGCTATCACAGTGGAAGACCACGAAGAGAATCTAGTGTAAACTGAACCAGAGCATCGATTCAGCACGGTGCATTTGCTTAAAGATAAAATGGAATTACGTATATAGATACATCTGGCCAGCTTTAACTGTGCTACTAAAACCCCAAAACAGAAGAGGTATGGAACAACGTCACATACGAGCGCACATAACATACTTGAACGGGAAGATACCGCATAACGAATTCAATAAAAACTTGATGATAAATCTCGATTTTATTTTCTCAGGCGTTTTTAGCGTGTGTTGTTACCGTCGCTTGGAACTCAATTCCCGCGCGTGCGCAGGTGACGACCCTCCCGATTTAATTTATCCAGATATATCTTGTATTGGCGATTGCCCTTAAAATCATGTGTGTGTGTGTGTGATTTTCTGTGTCTTCACGTATTAATTCTTCTGCAGGGCCAATTTAGGTGCTAAAATCTGAAAAAAAATCCTGGTCCATTGTTGCCATGGCAATAACCATAACAATGATTTGTTGGGGTAACTTTTCACCAAGAACGGATTTTTAACTCTTCTGTGATTATTTTTGCTGGGACGATTTCGTTCATACTTGGTAGGCATGTCATACCTTCACTCCAGTTGAGTGGTAAAATTTCAAAAAAGAAAATCCTGACCCACTGTTGCCATGGCAACGGCCTAAAAACTGGTTTTTTTTTAATTCTTTCGTGCCAAATGTATTACTTCATAACAGTCTTGTATTAGCAGTGTTGAAATGGTCATGCTTTTTATTTTGGCTAAGTTGCTCACCGACGATAGACCTTCGGTGCCGACATTGTTACACTGTATTAAGTCCCAACGCAACTTTGAACTTTAAATGCTGTAAATGCTGAGTTAAATAAAAAAAGATGAAAATACAAAACGGTCGGAAATAATACGTTGTCATCTTATCGAAGTATAGGTTAAACGCCGATGATAATGATAACAAAAAAAACGTACTAGTAATAAAGTGAAGTGATTTAGGAGGCTGAATGCTCTTTCCAACTTTGTATATGGTTTTAGTTATAAACCAAGATTAGCTTCACGAAAAAATGTCGCCAATCAGCCTACCGGCTTGTCAAATGTACATGTTACAATTTAAAACAGTTCGCTTTTTTTTTTAAAACCGATTTCACAAATGTTATATATTCCGTCAAAAGGCCTTTATTTACAAATTTAACAGCCGTCGCGACGCAATGTATTTGCTGTGGGTCCCATGCGACGTATCAACGCGTGTAAAGACACACCCCGCCACCAGATTCGAAAGCCCGCCGTCTGACGACTGTAACTATTTAACATTGACATTTAATATCGATACCTTGAATTCTTCTTTGACAGCCAGGACCATAATCTCAAAGTTTTGACCAGGTACGAATGGCTGGTAAGGCACGCCACGTTCCTCGGCACCCCATTTCTCGTTTGTCAGCGTATTCCTAACAATATGTCCTGCTTTGACTCGCGCAGCAAAGTGGAATGCAATGTCTGCACGTGGTTTAGTACTGGCACCAATCTGAAAGTTTATAGCGAACCTGGAGGAAACATAACACAAAACCAATAAACATACATACCCCGAACAAACAAACAATGTCTACGTACTGTATATGTAACATTTTCATCTTTTTCGGAGATTTGTTAGTATGTGGCGATAGTTGTCGTAATTTTGAAATTCATGGTTGCGCCATTTATTGTTATTCGTCAGACACACATCGTTTTTTCAATATGCAATGAGACAACGTTAATGATACACGTGTGGTGAAAATGTACCTGTCGGCATTTGGGGGAACACTTCCCTGTATGACTACCATGGTCCCAGGTCTCATACATCCGGGGATTTGACCCAGGAAAGGAATGCTCTGTATAAACAAAATACATGTACATAAATAAAAAATATATATTGATTATTGTCATATATCATAACTACGTACCATAACCATTCATCAAAGATGTCAATGAACAATACCAAATACATCAGAGTTGTCAGACTGTTTTAATGATTATGACAAATTGCACTGGTCATGCTCTGATTGATCGAAATGTAAATTTACGGAAGATTATTTGATATATCATGCCCGAATTATTACTCAATTATGACGATGCAATGCAGGCAGGAATAAGTTTAGATCAAAAGATATCAAGGTTTAATAGTTTATTGAAACACTTAAAATTCCTCAGAAGGAATTAAAATGGTTGCACTGATTGCTAAAACACATATATAAAACATACAAACTTTACAAAAATTACTATCTAGATAGTAGTGCAAACACACAAATACAGTCATTTCATGTGTCAAAGTACAGTGGGTGTTGAAGGGCTTGAAACATTTTATCGACGATTATAAAACTATAACAACCATTGGCACTGCTTTTTTACGAGTAACATATGTAACAGACGGTGTCATGAGTCACAAACCTAGGATGTTGAAATCAGAGAGAGTTCTATTGTTGTCCCTTCGCGGATAAAGTACTTTCCCAATTGTCGCTTTCACATATGCTCGAAGGTTCACAGCTTATGTACAACAAAAATGAAATATTATCAAGTTCAAATGTTCTAGTATCGTCACGTAATTTACAATCAGAGCACTAGTAAAGTCACGTGTTTATTTTGTACGAATTAGTTACTGATTCAACCAACATTATATCAATGCAATATTATTGTAATACTAATACTAACGCGTAACCAAGATAAAATAGAATTTATAAAGTTTCATGAACAGCATTGCTTTCTTTGTTCAATACGTCTGGTGCACCAGTCCACGAACTCGCCCATTAAAACGGCTGGGATGGGTCTCCATTGGAAATCTATATGAAATAGGGTGGATGCTGACGTACGCAGATCACTTCCATTTCAATGCATAATTGTTTATTTATCATAAAGTTTGTCATGACAGTTTGCTATAAAGTCGTACTTTCAGAAAAGTTAAAATATAAGGTATAACATGAAGTGTTCATCGCCTTAAACTGGTATTATAGCTATGCGTGAAACGACACAGCCACTCAACAACGCCCCCTAATTGAATACCTCGCCAAACTAACCTGAGAGCCACGGACGTTCTGTTATTAAATGTCCATTTCATGATGAAATTACGTCCGCTATATTATATTATGCTTAAGTCGTATGGCATATAATAAAGCGGTCACGATCACATGACTTTTAAGCTAAAACGTAACTTTTGTTCCCGACAGTTACCGACTTTGGCCCGTGTCATACTCGTAATAGTGACTTTTACGGAACCCTGGACTATGGTCAAGGTGAGACCAGCGTGAAAACGAACTTGCCAGCCCTATTTGTAAAAATCCGAGATCTGTGTGCAACATCGTACATTTGACGCGTGATAAGGTGGATGCATAAATTACGCTATACTCACAGGGTTTAATAAGGGCTGGGCTGCGCCTGGCTCAGGGTAGCACAACTGCGGAGAAACTGCCCCCGGAGTAGGGTAGTGAGCGGCACAGCTACTGCTCATCGCTGGGTTCCAACCGGCAGGTGACGGGTATGCCATGATTTGTAAATAATATCTGATATATGTATAAATGAAATGATCTGACAACAAGCAAAGTTTCAGCTCAGCTCAGTATATGGCGTTATTGCACTTGCAATGTCACTTCCTCATGTACGCTATTTTATACGCGAGTGTGATAGTCATACTATTTACACACACTGATTGTTTGTATTCATTCGCGGGTATTCAAATAGTTCTAGAATGTGTTGACATCATGCGTTTTAAATTTACCAAAATAGCGTAACAAACGATTGAATATTACATACACAGAGTGTGCGAGTGTGTACGTACGTACGTGTATTTTTATTTTGCAATACACTATTGTTTTAATGCGCGGAAGGACATATGAGTTAAAGACTGAACCAATCATGTGAGCCTGACCAATGTACAAATACACAACACAGTTAGTTCGGAGAAAACATGACTCATTGGGCCACAGCCGGGGTGTAAATTTCATTTTGACTACTACACTTAAAGTACGGGAAAACCGCGTCAATCTTTCTGTTTAACCGCTATACACAAACAATTACTGCTGAAATACCGAGTGATGTTGTATTTTGTCTAACCACACTAGATGATCAAGACCTGTAACTAACGGGAAATGATGTCATGTTGGTCCTCCGAAATAGCACAGTAATTATGCATAGAAACCAGACTTTGGCGAGAAAAAACTGTGACGTTGAAAAGGTTAAACGAGTATAGTAATTAGATGACGTGCTACGGTTATTGAGTTCTATATTGACCCGTTTATTAAATATAGGCCAATTGGGTGATATTTAAATTTACGTTGCGATGAACTAGCAATATTGGCAGGGACTGATCTGCAAAGTTCACCAAAGAGCGCCGACTAAATTTAGTAACAGTCTTTCACTTTCGATTTAATAATACAAACAGTTGTTATGTGTGAACGTAGGGTATATCGAGTTCTAGCACAGGGAGCCCAGGAACTATAATCAACTGTAGAACGCAGTCTCTATGAGCGCGGGGGGGGGGGGGTATCGGCTGGTATCTAGTGTAAGAAATAGACAAGGGATGAAGGCTCCAGCCAGCTCACATTTTTTAAACTCGAAAAAACAGACAAAAAGAATGAAAAACAAAATCTAAAAAAAATACCAGGTTGAAGAATATTAGTTGCTCCTTCAAATTTCACCAAAGCCTTGCCTACATTTTACCGATATCTGCAGAATAAATCAAGAAAACTACACAAATTGACTCCATTTAGGAATTCCTAACGGTTTGCCCGAACAAACGGCACAGTTGAAGGCGTGGCCTGTTCAGCATTTGTCAACAACCAATCACAAGTCTAGTTACGAACTACATCGAGGTCACGACTCGGTTAGCCTTGCTCAACTGGTTCGTAACCAGTCTTGTGATTGGTTGTTGCCAAATGCTACACTACACAGAACACAGAATATATTGGTACTGATTTACAATAAGAAAACATTCCGAACTCGGTCAGAGTGCCAGCCAGGCGGGGGTGACTCTATTATATGTGATTTTCTAAAATCGAACCTAGGGGTTTACAAAAACCTATTGTAAGTAAACAAAATGAAAGCATGACTCCCACCCATGCCACTGAGGGTAATATTACCAAAGGCGTTATAATTAAAACAAGAATAAAATATTTAAATGGACCCGAGACAAATTGATCTTACTACCCTGGTACTCGACTCTATAGGAGTTCTTACCTGCGCATCATCCCATGAGGTTTGCTGCTGGTCCAGCCAATGGTGAAACCGAGGTGGATGTGTCGGTCACGTTTAGAAAAAACGAAATCGTTGAGCACATGTCGGGCTACCCCACAGCCTCACAGTGTGGGACTTGGTAGTTTTAATTCCGCCAAGAAAGATCGAGGAACCATGTGACACCGTTCAATGAAAAATCGTGTTCTGATGGAGTAAGAGATTCCAACGGTACCGAGTAACTTGCAAGTCGGACTTGAAGTGAATTGAACTGAATGACGAGACTGTGTTTGAAGATTACACCACCGGTGCCGGTGCTTGAGGGGTAAGACACACCCTCACATATAAATCTAATCGTAACCCTGCCCCCTTTCAATTGTATATAACCCTCTACTGGTCACTTGTAGTTATTTGGAGGTGAATTTAATTGCATGGAGTTTTAGGGTTCATGTTAAGTGTGGGAGCATTAAGAAACTCTTTCCGCCAAGATGACGGAAACAAATTCCCTATTTATAAAAATGTTTAAATTGACATAAAATCACCAAAATAGAGAGAAGGATAATAGATATACTGACATAAAACAAATATGTTAGAAAATCACTCAAGACACCTGCATACACAATTGTCATTGATGGTATAGAATAAATAGAAATGTATGAATTATACAAAAATAATTACCAGTTTTATTACATACTAGGTCAAAGTTCATGTATTAGAGATTAAAACGTGGTTGTACAAATATGGCGCCTGTATAAGTACATATTACTATTAATGTTTAGTAATCTTTACTAGATTACTGCATTATCTGGGCATAACAGTATTCGATCAAGTATATTATTTGGAATAGCGGTTGAATAATACTGGTTAATAGATTGTTGTACTAAATTATATTGTATTTATATATGATCAGCTTCAAGTTATCGGCTAAATACATTAATTACCACACCCACCATTCTCAGGGTGGGTTGTTATGGTCGTGAACCTGAGATCTAGAAGGATGGATTTGCGAGCACACGAACAACACCTTGTAATGAAATATATATTAATACCGAATTCTAGTTAATATGGTATGCTTTATGACAGAATGTTATACAGGGTAAATTGTGGAGAGTCATAAAACAGGCATATTACCACATAGAATGTAGGATATCATTTGGTGATATCGACACTGGCTACTTTACACAGAACGGCGGTTTAAAACAGGGATGTGTTCTGGCTCCATTATTATTTTCATTTTACATTAATGAATTCAAAGAAATGCTTGATGAATCTTTACTTGGGGTTAACTTAAATGAAGTACTAATTAATGGCCTATTTTTTGCTGATGATATAGTACTTATTGCACCTAATGAAAGTCAACTAAGGGCAATGCATTACCCAAAAAATGTGTAATTTATGGAAAATGGCCGTTAACCTTTCCGACCACACCCTCTGCACAAAAATAATAGAACAATTTAATGCCTTATTTCCAGTTATGAAAGCAATACTTTGTAGTCATGGAAATATTAATCGAGTAGAATATGGTTTTTCACTTCGGAACCAGGTATTAAGGCCAGATTTAGAGTATGCTGGGGGGGGATCCTGATACTTAGTGGGACAAATATGGAGAATTTAGAAAAAATGCGTACGACAGGAAAATTCATTCTGGGTGCATGCAGAAATACTGCAAATGAGGCTGTCCTTGGTGATTTGGGGTTGTTCGCAATGAGATGTAGATTAGATATCATGAAACTAAAATATTACATCAGCCCCTGATGTAAAAGGGTAGCAAGCACTAGTACTTGCAATTTGCACATACAAAAAAATCAGGAGAGACAACAGTGACACTCAATGTCCAGAACTGTCGCCTGGCACAAAAACAAATTATAAAAATAAAAAAAATAAAAAAAAACATAGTGCCTGCAAGGTTACTGTATCGGCGAGAGTGTCAGAAATACAAAATCGTGCGAAGACGGATCTACAATGATGTCAAGTATTATAACCCGACGATATAATCGAAAGTGAGTGACACCCGCAATGTGACAACATTACCATACATGTGTTTACGAGTCGCATCTGTACTCACTAGAGACTCACTTCATTTCACAAGCTTAAGACTAGAAGTTTTTTTCACAGTTTATTGGTTTTGTATGGCACACATCATTTGAACTGTGTACTGCAATGTTTGTTTTGACTGCAGTGTTTGTGTCTATTTGCCATCCCATGATACATTGGACATATCGTTTTCATGACTGAGACTTCTTATAGTTGACTAAAAACTGAGAGTACTCCGACTAGGCTCTGATGAGTGATGGTGGCGACAATTCCCATTAAACACCAGAGAAGCTGAGTAAAGCCTAAACTGTTGTACTCTGGGTTGGTCTATTTAGGTATGTATCCTTTGGATCCAGCGAAACCTTATGGTAGTTCTGTCTGATGTAGTGTGGAATGACCATCTGAAAACACTGTAGGTTCTAAGTTGTAAGCCACAGAGATCTGATTTCTTAGCATAAAAATTAGGATTGGTTTGTGGGCTAATGGTATGTGCGAGTATGATCAATTTGTGAGTTTTTTGCCCATGACCTTGCATCAAAGAAACAAGGCAATGCATCGGACGGCAACAGAGGGCGGTATAACAAGGCATGAGAAACAGTGCTCCACTAAAATCATACAGTTGGGATGTTTGTGTCAGAGGTAAACATAAACAAGCCAACTTTTGGGAAGGTCAACGTCACTGAGTTGTGAAACAATCTAGAATATTATGTATTTGTCACTACAACGATTCACAACTTACTACTTACCTTTTCATTCTTTCCTTGGCCTGAAACATCTCAGTGCAACAAAGAGATGACAGTTATTTTTTGATCTAATTTGTAAGAATGTGCAAATCCGTTTTTCAACATGTCTCTTCTCAGTATGGTGGCCTCATATAGTATATTGGCGATCCGCTCCGCTAGGATTGCCCTTATAATCACTTTTGTCGTTTTGGGTGGGTGTGTGTGTGTGTGTCTGTGTGTGTACATTTCCAGTGTTTTCACGTATGATTTCTTCTGTGATTTTTTTGGCTTGGCCGATTTCTTTCAAACTTGGCAGGTGAGTCACACCTTCACCCTAGTTATTAGGAAAAATCGGAAAAAAATTGTTTGGTCCACCGTTGCCATAGCAACAGCCAAAAAACTGATTTTTGGATAGCTTCGCGCCAAATGTATCTCCTCCTACAAATTTTGGATAAAACACTTCAGACATAGCTCATTCTTCTCAGCTTGAGTGTGGGCACAAAGTTACTATTTGAATTTTTGATATCTGTTTTCATTACCGAGAAATTTGACCCCAAAGTTGGGGTAACTTTTCACCAGCAAC